GACTGCCAGGTCTCTGTGGACAGGTCTGCTGCTAACCTTATCTGTCTACTCTTGTAGGTTAAGGACCTTTTGTCCCTAGCTGCTTTCAGAATTATCTCTTTACCTTTGTACGTTGCAGGTTTCACTGATATGTCTTGGTGTTGTTGACCTGTTTTTGCTGACTTTGAGGGGAGTTCTCTGTGCACTCTTGGACTTGAAAGCCTGTTTCCTTCCCCATATTAGGGAAGTTCTCAGTTATAATTTGTTCAAATAGACCTTCTGCCCCCTTTTCCCTCTCTTCTTCTAGGACTCCTATGATATGGATATTATTGCACTTTGTGAAACCGCTGAGTTCCCTAAGTCTATATTTGTGATCTAATAGTTTTCTCTCCCTCTTTTCAGCTTATTTTCCATGATTTTATCTTCTATATCACCTATTCGTTCCTCTGCCTCTTCCATCCTTGTTGTGATTACATCCAGTCAATTTTGCATCTCAGTTATAGCATTTTTTATTTTGGCCTGACTAGTTTTTAGGTCTTTTATCTCTGCAGTCAGGGTTTCTCTAGTGTCTTCTATGCTTCTTTCAAGCCCAGCTAGTATTATGACTGTTGTTCTTAATTCTTGTTCAGATATACTGCTTATACCTGTTTTGAGCAACTCCCTGGCTGTGGTTTCTTCTTGATCTTTTTTTGGGGGAGAATTTGTCCATCTTGTCATTATGTCTAGGTTTCTGTCTTTTGCATGTTATGAAAGCTTGTTAGTTTCCTGCTTCTGAGAGTGATACTATATTATATTAAGTGGTCATACACTGTTCAGGGCCTGGTGCTTTAGGAAGTGTTTCTGGTGTATGTTGTGTGTACTCTGCTGCTTGTTTTGGCTGCTCTTTCCCACAGGCCAGTCCCCTGTAGAGTTCCTCCCTGCTTGCAATGGGGTGTGTTTGGACCTTTAAGTTGTTGTACTTGGGTCTGTTTATTAAGATAGGCCTAATAAGAAAGAAAGAAAAAAAACCAGCCCAATCTAAGAAAAAAGGAAAAGGAACAAGTAAGCAAACGAACAAACAAATCAAAACGTATACGCCTGATTCCAAAGAAAAATAAATTAGGGGAAAAAAAAAGCCTGATCCAAAAAACTAGAAAAAGAAAGAAACAAGCCAACAAATGAACAAAAAACTATAAGCCTGATGCCAAAGAGGAAAAAATATATAAAAAAATAAAAATAAAAAAATAATGGGGGGCTGGAGCTGAACTGAAGCTTTGGAGCACTCTACAATCAGTAGCCTTGATGCATGGGAGGGCCTGTGTTGGTCTTCTGAGAGAGAGGCCTGCTGCACTGGTTAACAGTCAGACCTGCCCCTGTAAAGATTCCCCTGCCAGTGCACTGGGGCGGGTGTGTGCAGAGTTTGGTGTGAGTGACTCCAGGGGTTGTGTTCTGTCTGAAGTCTGACTATGCTGGTGGGCGGGGGGGATGGTGTCAACCCGCCCTCTCGACAGGGGGACGGAAACTCGAGGCTGCTGCTGTTCAGGAGACCCTCACAGAAAAGTGAACGATCTTTTCTTCTGTGTCCCAGGCTGTCATCAGAACCCTGCCTTCAGCCTATCTGTGCCTGGCCGTTGGCCCACCCAAGGCTAATTCTCCAGTGTTTTATCTCTGGCTGGCAGCTGGGATTCAAAACAACAAGTCTTAAAGTATCTGGTGGCACGTGAACCCATTCCCTTCCCCTGAAAGAGTCTTGCAGTGCTGTGCCTGGCACCTTTTTGTCCCAGAAAAGCAGCTGCACGCCTGTATGAGTGCCCAGAGTCTATGCTGAAACACAGCAAAAAGCCACAACCAGGTTATCTGCCGTCTGTGGGTGCCTCTGTCCCCTGCTGTTGAATGGTGGTTCAAAACTGCCTGGCAGGTTTCTGTCCTTGGAAAGGCAAAATACCATCTTCCAAATGCACTCCAGGAAGGGGAACATTCTCTTCCCCAGCGACCCAGGGTATCCCCACACCACCGAGCCTTGCTCCAACCCTCCATCCCTGACTGCTCTATGAAAAGGGTTCCCACCACTCCATAGTACTGCAGCTTTTCTCTCTCCCAATTCACTCTCTGAAGCTCACATTTGTCATGTTCTCCCCCTCCAATTGTGCAGATTGTTTTCTTTCCTCAGATCGGTTTCCTAGTTGTTCAAAATGATTTGATGTTGATCTAGCTGTGTCCCAGGGTCCCCCTACTATTCTGCCATCTTAACTCCTCCCCCATCCCAAAATTTTAAATATTTTACTCTACTCTCTTCTTGCTTGCATGGTTTCAGAAGAGAAGTATGATATGATTCTTAACCTTGTTTCCCTTTAAGTAAGGTCTTTCCCCCCGACTTCTGTTAAGATTTTGTCTTTGATTTTCTATAGTTTGAATGATATGCCTAGGTATAAGGTTTTTTGTTTTTGTTTTTTTTAAATATTTAGCCTGCTTAGAATTCTGTGAGCTTCCTGAATTTGTGGTTTGGTGTTTATTAGTAATTTTGGAAATTTCTCAGCTGTTAATAACTTTGAATATTTCTTCTGTTCTTTCTTCTTTGGTATTGCCATTATGTGCATGTTACAATTTTTGTCCCACACTTCTTGGACATTGTTTTTTTTCCAGTCTTTCTTTTTTTGCAGTTTGAGAAATCTCAATTAACATGTCTTCAAGCTCACTGATTATTTCTTCGGCCCATAGCATTATTCTAATGAGCCCATCAAAGGCATTCTTCATTTCTATTATAGTGTTTTTTATTTCTAGCATTTCTTTTTGATTCCAAGAGTTCCCCCATCTCTGCTTACATAACCTATCTGTTATTACATGTTGTGTACTTTTCTATTAGAGCACTTAGTTATATTAATCATGGTTATTTTAAATTCTGGTCTGCTAACTCCAAAATCTTTGCTATATTTGGATCTGGTTCTGATGCTTGCGTTGTCTCTTCAGACTGCCTTTTGCCTTTTAGCATGTCAACTGAGTTTTCTGAGAGCCAGATAAGATCTATTAGGTAAATATTACTTAAGGAGATAGGTTTTAAGTGTGAGGTTCTATGTTTATCTGGATAACATTAGGATGAGTTTACTATCTGCTATAGTTGTAGGTGTCAGAGGCTCTTAAACATTTCCTCTGGTGTCCTTGTTTTTGTCTCTTCTGTTGTTTTCATTTCCCTAGAGACTCCATCATATATAAGGTCTGAGAGGTGCAGTTCTTTCTGTTGTATCCCCCTTAGGAGCCTTCCTAATGCGTGGTGAGGTGCGGGGGGAGGAGAAGTGTTTTATAATCTTATGATTAGGTCTCAGTCTGTTAGTAAGCCTGTATCCCAGGATTGTGAGCCTCACAAGTGCTTTCAGTTTTTTGTTTTCCTTCATAAGTGAGACGGGAAGGCTAGAGGGGGCCAGAGTTGGGTATTTCCATTCCCCCAGGTTGGTTAGACTTTGGTAAAAGTTTCCTGTGCAGGCCTTTGCTAAGGAGAACAGAATGCTCTGGAAGTATTTCAAAATGATTACTTTTCCCCTCCCCTTGAGGGAAGATTTCTCTCAGATCTTCACTGTGAGAACTTGGTGGGGCTCCGCTAGGTAAAACTCACAAAAGTACATGAGACCGTCATGGCTGCGTCTTCACAAGTTTTTATCTCTCAAGCTAGCCCATGTTCAGATTCTAGCAATTAGCCAAATCACTCTTTAAATGTTCCCACCAGATGCTGGCTGCCGCAGTGGTTTCCGGGTAGTTTCTGCTCTGGGTAAGCTCTGCTTCTCTGTTATCTGCCCATCTCCAGTTTTCATGTTCCTATGCCTTATGGTCTCAATTCTCTGACGGATCTAAGAAGAGCTGCTGACTTTCAGTTTTTCAGCTTTTTTCTTGCTGTGAGGTCAGGAGTGACGATGTTCAAGCTCTTTACATGTTGGAAAGTAAACTACCTTAAAAAAAATCTTTTTGATCTCTCCAGTTATTTACTTAGACTAATTAGTTCTCTAGAAGTGAACTTACTGCACAAAGTACATACTTTAAGGGTTTTGATACATACTGCCAAACTTCCCTCCAAAGAGGTACCAAAATAACTTATATTTATTTTTCTGCTCATAAACCTTCACTGCTCCCTCATTGGTCAAAGATGATGTCCACTCATCTCTACCAAATATACAAGCCTCTGATGGTTGCACAGGGTTACCGAAAGGCCCTGTACAGTATGACCCTTATCTGTTTTGCAATTTGATCTGTCACTACTCCCTAACACAATTCTTTGGATTTAGTGCTTGGTGAACTTACTGTGTAGAGCACGCCATAATCATTCATTTTGTTTTTATTCAAGTCATCTCTCAATATTGAAAATGCCTTCCCAAGTCTTCGTAGTCTTTTTCAACTCAATTTACACTAGCCCTTATCAGTTGTCCCACATATAGCTACCTACAGGGCAGTACTTCCAGCACCTGACAGGTGTCATGAAGGCAAGAAGTTTTCTGAGAACACTTTTATAATAGAGGGCACAGAGGATGGGGCTGTATTTACTCTCTGCAAAGTAAAAGGGACTAGTTTAGGTAATACAACTAAGAATTTCTAGTATCATTTGGAATAATTAAAAGTTGATGGTTTATGAAATAAAATGACATAATTATAGTTTTTGGATTTTTGCTTCTCATTGCTCTAATCTGGTTTCATTCTTTGCCCAATTTAAAACATCAATACTACCAAAAACTAATATCCCAGATAAATTAATTATTCTATTAACATATTTAGTGACATTAGAAACTTACCTGTTTTCCCTTTGGCTCTTTAGAAAAACCCATAAAAAACAACTATTTCTTAGATAAATACATAAAATGTTTAACTACACTTGTGTCATAAAGAATCTAAAGTCTAAATAATAAGCAAATGCATGGTACAAAGAATTATAATTAAAATGAAGAAAAGCTGTTACCAATTCTGAAAAATAGAAGTTTTTCAGCCTTAATGTTTGATTTCTAAAAAAAAAACAAAAAAAAAACCCCTTAAAAAACTTAAAAAAAATGCAAAAAACAACTTACGCTCCAGTTGGTCAAACATTACTGAAAAGAGGAAGTCTCGTGGTGTCATATAATATTCTCCTTCATGTTCCAGTGAAGAAAACTGCATGAAGCGCTGTTTACGAAGGGACAATTTTTCTCCCATCCCTCCAGAGTCAACATTTTCCTAAAAGAAAAAGAAATTGCAATTTAAGACTTTTTTCAGTATGATTCCCCAACTTAGCTACTTCTAGAATAATCTTTACAGAGTAGTTTTAGTGTTTAGTCTAACAATCTCCAAATTTTTCAAACATTCATTTAATATTTACTTGACTGTCTACTTGCCACTCTCAGGCATGAAGATAAAACAGTGAATGATACTAACTTGAAGGAACTTCCATTCGAGAGTGGGAAAATGACAATTAATGAATACATACAGAAAATAAGGTGAGATAATAAGAAGTACCACAAAGAAATATTAAGCAGGATAAGAAAGTCGTAAGGAGTAGTATCTTAGATAAGATACTCAGGGAAGGCCTTCCTAAAGAGGTGACATTTAAAGAGACTAAATGAGGTGCAGTTAGTGAGCCCTGGGGCTCTCTGGAGGAAGAGCATCCTAAGCAAGAGGTAAAGTAAATCAAAGACCATGAGATTCCTCTGTGTGTGTGTGTTTCTAGGTAAGCCTGGTGTGTTCAAGGAGCAGTGTGGCAGAAGATCAGATCAGAGAGAAAAGTAGAGGCAATGGGGCGCCTGGGTGGCTCAGATGGTTGGGCGTCTGCCTTTGGCTCAGGTCACGATCCCAGGGTTCTGGGATGGAGTCCGGCATCAGGCTTCCTGCTTGGCAGGGAGCCTGCTTCTCCCTCTCCCTCTACTGTTCCCCCTGCTTGTGCTCTCTCGCTGTGTCAAATAAATAAATAAATAAATAAATAAATAAAATCTTAAAAAAAAAAGGTAGAGGCAAAAGATCAAGTAAAGTTGTGCTTTTTCACAAAGATAAAATATATCATGTCTGATAAATGGCTCTGCTTTCAGAAATATATTTACATCATGGGTGGAGAGTGCTAAAAGGACAAGAACTGGTAAAATATTGTCAGTGTAAGAGTCTGGATATCTCAGGCAATGGCACCTAGACCTTGACTCAATGCTGATATAAACAATATTGAAATCTTTATTGCTAACCTTTTGTTGAGCACTTACTATGTGCTAGGGACTATACTAATAAAGCACTCTACATGAATTATTTAGTTAGTCCTCACAATAACTGAACAACAGACACTAAAGTAGATATGGCAACTAAAGGAAAGGGCACAGCCAGGATAAAAAACCAGGGGTGTCCAACTCAAAGTGTTTCAATCCCTTAACTACCACACTAACCTCCTATCCGTGGCTGGGCACTGTATCCTAGGCAAACTGGAAGAACACAACACAGCAGTTAACGTAAACACCAATGTCAATATAGCAATCTTGACACAGAATGCAAGTATTATCTGTGAAATCCAAAAGCACACTCTCACCTTGGATTGCTTTCCTTAAAGCACTTCTCTGACCTGGACCACAACATCCTTCCTGGACACATTACTTCCTTTTCACACTTAGTGGTACTGAACCTATTATTTAACCTGACACACAGTGATGTTCACTGACTAGAATTAAAATGGGGGAAAAATGTGAATTCCAGTTGCTTAAACCTCTGCATATTCAAAGCCAACAAAATTCAAAGCCAACAAAATTCAAAGTTAACAGCTCCTTTTTGGCTGATCTTGGTTTTCTGACTAGTATTAATTCTCTCTCCTTATTTTGACAATTGCTTTCCTTGAGCAGCTAGTTGTATGCCTCTTTTGTGTTCTACACAGTGCATGCCAGAATACTGGACATATATTGAATACTCAATACTATTGGAATGATCTGAACCCGTATCTTCTTCAGAACCTGTCTATTCATGTCTTTCCTTTTCTTTCCCCTTAAGTTACTACTATAAAAATGACTTGAGGCATGCTTTGATTACATGAGTCCATACTCTTACATAATAATCAGAAAACTGAATTTTCTTAATACTCTCTGAACATTTTATACATGAGGCAGATACAGTAACAGATATATTATTATTTTATTTAACAAACTGATACTGAGTATATGCAGGAAAACAGTGGTAAACAAGACAAACATTAACTCCTACCAGAACACACTGAGTGTTTTGGCAATGAAATTATAGAAAGTATACAAATGAGATAGGGAAGAGAGGGTGGGTAAGAGTCTTCTCAGTAAATGTCACAGCACTGTCAAAGTCCTAGATATGAGAGAGAATACAGTGTATTAGAAGAACTGAAAGAAGTTGAGTAAGGACATATATAGATTATTAACTTAGAGAACAATTCTATTTAAAATACTAAAATTAATATATAGTCTATTAAGAGATTAACAAAAGTAACTAACCCACATAGAAATATATTTCCATATCCCTAAATAAATGCTGTCTTTCTTTATACTTCCTAATATCTAAGTTGTCCCTGACTGATTAAAAGAGTACCTTTTTATCCAACTCAATCCTTTTTGTGTAAATAAACTCTTCAAATTTCAACCAACTAAAAGGAGTCAATTACTCACTTATTCTCCTCCTCAAATGGTCTCATAGCAGGACGGACTGCTGTTAACTCTGCCCCTCTCTGTTTTCACGTTGTCCTCCATCTTGCAGCAGTCCTACTCTTTCCTGGTATATTGAAAATGACCAAGAAGTAAAAACACAAACCTCCCACTCTTTTATAGCAAGACATGAAAACTATTTTCAAAGAAATCCTATTTTTTTCTTTTAGGAGATTTAGACCCTAAAAATCCCCCTATCTCATGATTACCAGTTTCCATATGCCTGTATGTCTGTAACTTGCACAAGCATGACATCTCTGAAGAGTCTTGAGAAGAATCAATTATTCTGGGAAGTGCCATTTTAAATAATGGTTGGTTGGGTTGTCATCCCTTCCAATTTTGGTTAAATATCCTCTCTTGTGAACAAGAAAAAGTAGTGAAGGTAAAACTAAAACTCCCTTTCAGAGGCTGATTTCTGACCTTAAAGTTGTCATCCGAATTACAGGCCATGAATTTAGAAGGTCACTTATAAACAAATGACGTCCAAAACAAATCTGTCCTACCACCATGACTCCATTAGTAGATGGTGTGATATACAAACATCTAACAACCCCTACCAACATCCTCACAATTCAATCTGATATTGTGGCCTTCAATTCCTGTTACTTCATGGTATAAACAGACTATTCTCCTACCCCCAAATCTTTTAATTCCCATGCCAGCACTAATAATGTCTCTCTTTTTTCTAATCCTTTCTATTATCTCTCACACTCTGCTTATTGAGTACCCAGCTATCACCTGGGGTCACCACCACTGTAGATTCTAATCCTACCACTTCTCTTATTGAATATAAAGTGGAAGCCCCCAAGTTACAATCTCTTACACTGGTCTTTCCCTGCATCCTCATCCACCCTTCAAGTAAATACTTAACTGAGCATCTACTAACTTGAGGACACTCTAGGAAGAGACAGAACACGTATCAATCAAAACAGCAATAGGACAGTAGTTAATCCTAACAATAATAGCTAATGTTAATTAAGCATGCAGTATATGCAAGGCAAATGCTAACATCTTTACATACATGGTCTCACTCAACCTTCACAATAACCTTGAGACATCATCTTTATCAACCTCATATTACAAAAGAAACCAAGGCTTGTCAAGGTTTACCAGCTTGCCTAGGTTAACACAGCCAGTAAGCTGACAGCATAGGTGGTATGACAACCCCAGGCTCAACCACTATCCTATCCTATCCTATACTAGCTCCTCTAAGAATTATATAAATTAGGAAAACAAAGAAAGCAGTGTGGGTAATGATGGCTGAGGAAGCTCATGAAAACAGTGGGATTTAAGCTAGGCTCTAGAGAATAAAAATGACTACAACAAGAATTAGCCATCTCTTAGGCCTAGGCTAACTGTTGTCCACTTCCTAAATGGTATGTATTACTGCTCTTGTTCAATCAAACTTAAAGTAAGTAGGATTTCTAATATGTTTCTTTGCTACAATAAAATTTTTGTAGAGAGGAAAAATATTGTTTTAAAGCTAGAGCTAATTGCTAGAGCTTTTGTAATTCCAAGCTGATGAACCAACAAATCAGTTTTATTTAGGTCACCTTTATCATAGTTGAATTTTAAGTTTATTTATTTATTTCTTTAGTAATCTCTACACCCAACATGGGGCTTGATCTCATGACCCTGAGATCAAGAGTCGTATGCTCCTCTGACCAAGCCAACCAGGTGTCCCAGTAGTTGAGTTTTAAAGTACATTTTAAAAGAGCACTATTATAATTGATGTGCAATATATATTTATGCTTACTTCATAGAATTTAGACAATTTACCATTTTTTATTGAAGTATAAACATGACACGTAATATTACATTTAATTTGCCATTTTTATTATTTTATTTCTGCCTTACTTCATTTGTATAACCATTTTGATAAAATCTCAGACTTGATGGATTTAATTGTCAAGAATTAACAATTTTCCCTTCCTCCCCAACCCTTTCTTTCATCTCTGTGCTTTTCCTGCTCACATGCTTGCATGCTCTCTCTTTTCTCACCTCCCCTTCCTTTCTCTCCTTCCCTTGCATGTTTTAGGTGGCTTTAGTTTATTTATTTTTAAAAATTTTAACTTAAATAATCTCTACACCCAACATGGGGCTCAAACTTACAACCTCAAGATCAAGAGTTGCATGCTCTACCGACTGAACCAGCCAGGCGCCCGAAAATCAGGAGTTTTCAGGGGGCTTTTAAAAAATTGTTAGCTGCTCTCATATTCCTTGAACTATTATTGTTATTATTGTTATTGATATTTTTGTGGGTACTCATTTCCTTTAATCGCCACTCATTTTCTTTAGTCTCTTTCTCACTTTGGTATATGTGCGGCCTATCTGTGGTAGGTTGGGCTTGACAAACTGAACTAAGGCAAAGACAATGGCTTGTAGACTTTGGTGAGTGTAGTTAGAATACCAGTTTGGATGGAGACAATGAGGAGGAATAAAAAAGGTCAAAATATTAAAGTTATATCTGAGAGTAATGATCTACGAGCAAATCCTAGCTTATCTGTATTGTTACATATCAGGCAGTGAAAAGTTCATTAATTCATT